TGCTATAAGAAAGGCCAAGGCTTCCTCGGAAATCACTTCTGCCCTGTGACCCAAGTGTACTCATGCCAGTGTGGTGTAGTGATTAACATGTCTAGACTATACATTGCACTACCCGGGTTAGAGCTCCGCTAGGGGCGCCAATTAGGCGAGGTTGAAACTGTCGTCTATCCTGGATGATAATACCTTTTAGGAAGCAAGGCTATATGAAATTCAATGGAAACATGGGCTCTACTCATATCATCGTAGAAAAATTCAACTACCTGTCACTTATCATCTTAAACGAAGTAGGCTGAATTCAGCTCTTATATAGGATCTAATGATAGTCTCGGAAACCTGCTTATGAATAAAAGATTTGCACATTGTTTGTACCGCCTTGAAATGATTAGCGAGCTTCACTTGCAGCGTTCTAATCTGGCCTTTTCATTGTTTAGATGTGTGGTCTATCATGGATTAACCTTCGCATTTATAGGTTTTTGCTTGCACTGGTTGGTAATAGACAAAGCATTAGGTTACTTCAATATTTTTGCACATATCATAACGAGTTCCCTTACATCCATAGAGAAGCAAAGCCCTCAATATGTCACCGAAAAACTGATAAAACTTATGATATCGCATCTAAGGATACACATATGTATTCATGCAAAACTTTTTGGTTCATAAGTAGGTTTTTCGAGATTATCAGTAATCACTATTAACTGAATACGCTACTTATAGTATAGTTGCTTAGCAGTCGCCAGCGGGCAAATCCTGTTATTTCTTTTTGACACATATGCTTAGAAAATCATAGGACTATTAACATTTATAAGTACTGCACACTCGAAGCATCCTTTATATACGCTCGAGTCTCGCAGGTTTCGTTATCCCACAGTGTCTGCATTCGCGGCCAGCCTGCACCCAACAAGCGATTAGCAAAGCGGAGTGCAGCCGAAGCCGGCCTAGCTGCTCTCGGCTTTGCGGCCACACTTAATTCTCCGGTCAAATCTGCTGTTCGGAAACAGACAACTTTTGCTCTGCCTAATGACGATGTTGCGGCTAGTACGGCCACTAATGCCAATAGTCAATCTTCAAACTGGGCTCCATCTTCCCCCCTGAGGGAGCCATTTGGGGTTCCTCAAGCTGAATGTCAATCTACCGATGAACAGGTGTCAGTCCACGATCGTACTACAGTTGATGGGACCTTGGTTATGGGTCAGACATTCTCATATATATAACGA